CTGCTTGAGGTATTCCCTCCCCACCCCAGGCCAGGTGGCAGACCCAGGTCTTCACAGCCTTACGGAAGGCCAGGAGTGAGCGGGCCAATCGTGCCTCCAGGGGCAGGATGTTCCAAAGAGCGGGGGCCACCGCAGAGAAGGCCCGCCTTCTGGACCCCACCAGTCGAAGTTCTTTCACCGAGGGGGTCTGAAGCATGCCCTCTGTGTGATTGGGTGGGACGGGTTGAGGTCATAGGAGAGAGGTGGTCCCTTAGGTAACCTGGCCCCATGCCATGTAGGGCTTTCAAGATGATAACCAACACCTTGAATTGGACCCGGAAGCAAACTGGCACCCAATGCAGCTCGCGGAGCAGAGGCGTTACATGGGCCCTCCTTGGGGCTCCAACAATAGCCTGCGTGGCTGCATTCTGGACCAACTGTAGCTTCCGGATAGTCTTCAAGGGTAGCCCCACGTAGAGCGCATTGCAGTAGTCTATCTGGGAGATAACAAGGGCGTGAGTGACCGTTCGAAGGGCATCCCAGTTCAGAGAAAAGCTACAATAACAACTGCTGGAGTCCAGAAGACAGAGAATTGGCGGGCACCAAGGAATGTTTCCATGGGTGTGTTTGTGCGCATGAGCACTCTGTGGCTTACCCCGGCTTTAGCTTCTGTACCTTTCCAGCTCTGGTTCATCCTGGTGTTTGGTCTACAGGTCTCAGGTCCAGCTGTGTCCATGGGGGGGGGTGTCAAAACAGGCAAGATGGCAATTGTGGCACCACTTACACCACCCTCCCGCAGATGCCACCACTGAGTTCCTTTTGCTGAAAAAGCTGCAGTCTGTTACTGAATTGTCTGTTTCAATTTTTTCTTCCCAACGGCTTGTGTACTTTCTCTTCCTTAGGAATTAAAGCCTCATATTTTCACGGTAGCAGAAGAAAGCTACCGAAATGTCCAGAGCCAGATTCCACTAGTCAATCAGTCCATAATTGTTAGTGGGGAAAGTGGCGCTGGTAAGGTAAGCTGAGATCTCTTTAAAAGTGTTCTGGGGAAAGGCAGTTTGCACACTCATCTCTGGTTGAATTGACCTGCATATGCGTGTGACTAGCAGATCTTTTGACCTCGCTTCAGTCTAACCCATTCTTCCATGTTAGAGGTTAAAGCTTTGGGTTTTAAAGCATTTTTGGTCTTGAGGAAACCACAGTTTGCTCTTGCATCTGCATAACTGTAGTTACTGAATCAGGATTAAAGAGAGAATCCAGATCTTACGGTGCTTGATTGAAAGCTGGAAGAGCTCTAATCTGGGAAGATGCAGAATTGGCTATTTTGTGTAATTTGTAGCTGGACGTTGGGGAGCAAATGGTAAAATGTGCATGACAACATCATCCCACAAATGACATCCCTTACATTCTTGAGCCAGATGTCAAGACATAAATACCTAATGGCACCATTTAGATGACAATGTCACCACACGCATGTTGTCACTTCAGCATCATCACAGTTGGTTGCAGATGCCACAGAACGTATAGGTGTTTAAATAGCATTGCCCTTATATTCCTCTACAATTCACTGAGACAGGTGAACAATTCCATATATTAAATATATATTTCCCTACTCCCTATTAGGCCTTATCAAAGCAGCCTTTTTCTTCTTTCCCACCAACGTCTTCCTGAGATATTCTCAGGGGTAGAAGAAATCAATGGCTTATACTCAGGGCTGTGTTTTTAGACATGGACATCCCGCTGCCTGATGAGATTTTATGCAACTGTTGCGGCTTCATCTGACATCTCGGAAGGCAACATAACCGTGGAGAGGATAGAGCAGAGGGTGTTGGACTCCAACCCGGTCATGGAAGCTTTTGGTAAAGATGACCTTTTTAATGAACAGAATGTTCGCTCTATCTCATGCAACAATCCAACTCTGATAAACCATACGTCTAGTCCAGTGTTGTCCAAATGTGGCCACTTTAAGATGAGTGGACTTCAACTCCCAGAATTCCCCAGCCAGCATGGGGTTTGGACAACACTGGTCTAGTCTATTCAAACCCTGCCAGACCATAATACCCAGAGGTGCCCATAACAAGCTAAGACAGTGCTTCCCAAACTTTGGTAAATTACCCCAAATTGGGTAAAAGTAGTTTTTCTTTGGGTAATGACACACAAGCCCCTTACCCATCACAACAGGGACATTTAAATTGACTTAAAGATTGCCCGGTGTACTAAAGTATACTCCAAAATCTCCCAAAGTGTTCCTTTTAAAATGAAAATCAATGAAACTACCTATGGTAATTTGTTGAAATGACATAAAGCTCATTCAGCGATATTTTTTTTATAATACAGGTAGTCCTCGAGTTACGACCATTTTTGGGGTAATGAAGAAAAAAGTTTGGGAAGCACTGAGCTAAGATTTCATTGGAATAACAAAACATACATTGTCACGACATAGAACAAGCTTTGCCCCTTGTGTACTTGGTTGCGATATTGTAATGTAATTGTAATAAAAGGGGTAAGTTTGTGTTGCAGCATGTTTTGCCCAGACACCTGTGAAAAAGCAGAAACTTCTTAGTTTAAAAATACTGCTCAGGGCATAGTTCTTGAATTTACTTTTTCCAGCTGATTGTAAAGTTGATATACCCAACGAAAGTTGCCTGAACAAAGTCATGAGTAAAGAAGAATGACTGGGTTTGCACATTGCCCTAAGCTACATTTTGTCCAAAAAAAACCCCACACAACTGGTTGATTCATGCAAGGCACTAAGTTATAAATAAGAGTGGCCATGTTTAACATCTTTGGGGACCCTGAGGGCCACAAGATGTGAGGCAGTTAGGCTAACTGGATAAGCCTGGTTTGGGGGCAGGGAGGATTCCTTTAAAAAAAAAAAAACGTTAATCCAATTCTGGCCTTGCACTATTTTCCTGCCTTGAATAGTCAGAAACGATGCAACCTATTTTCAGCAATATTAGCTAGAGAGGCTCCAGAAGAGGCTGGAGCTCAAGTCACTCACCCCCAAAACAAGCCACAGCCAAGTTCACACAGCATGCTAGCTAAGCCAAATTCCCCTGCATCTTAGCATAATGCCTGAACAAGGCCTGTGAATCTCCCTTTTCCCTTAATTCCTTTAACCTTTGCGATAGACACTTGTGTCTTGCATACTGCCAGTTCTTGTTAATTTCACAGGAAACGCATGTACGCTTCGGAATAACAACAGCAGCCGCTTTGGGAAATACATCCAGCTTCACTTAAATAGGTATTGTCAGCTCACCCATATAGCGATACTCTTTTTTAACTTAGGCAGTGATCAAGTTTCAGATTTAAGGTTTAAAAGATAGATTCTCAGGTTCAGCTCCTGGTGATCTCAAGGATTTCTTCCACAATTTTTATTTTTATTTTTATTTTTTTGAAAAATCAGTGGATTTGAGTTCCAGTCCAGTCTGCAGCTCTGGAGTAATATATTTACAAGATGCTGTATTCTGGGCAAGGACAGGTGCATTGCATCCAGGGGGTGGGATCAAAACAGGGAAGATAGCAAATGCAGCATCAAGATAGAAGGGCAGGGCTTGCATCGTGTGTGGCATGTACCATCCTATCCATTTTGGATGCACGCTTTCCTGAATGCCCATCAAATACGTTGAGACTACATCTCCCAGAATTCCCAGCCATTATGGCCATTGGTTGGCATTCTTGAAGTTGTAATCCTTGCTTTTTGATATCCATTGGTTGGGAAAGCCTATATAGGAGGAAAGGCCTTTTGCTTGGCCAGAATGGGGCATTTAGTTTTGCTGATCCTCCACTGCTCTTAAAGTCTACAAATCTAAAAGTTTTTAAACTACTGTTCTGCAGATATCAGCTTTTGACGAGTGCCTCCATTCAGACTTTTCTGCTGGAGAAAACAAGAGTTGCTTATCAAGCCCCACAGGAAAGGAATTTCCATATTTTTTATCAGGTTTGTGCTTGTGTTGTGTTCATTTCATTTGAGTAAATGGCTTCCGTTTTTTAATGTGTACACCAATATAAAGATGCTCAGAAAATATTTCTGCTGTGTTGCTGAGGATCTCAGTCTGAATAATACACATTTTTTTTTAATGGAACAACCCTTTTGCTTCAATTGTTGTGGGGAAAATAGGAGGCAGGAGTATTGGATATATTCACTGCCTTGTGTTGTATATATTGGTCAATACTCCTGCCTCCCAATACTCCTGCCTCCTATTTTATCTATCTGTCCGTCCGTCCATCCATCCAGCAATGATATCTTTAACACCATCAAACAACATCTGCCTATCCCAGGTCCTTGGGAAGGACTGGATAGGTGGATAAAAATGCCAAATCCAGTCTAAACATCTGGCTGACTGTGTGACCAACCAACATCATCGTCATCATTGTCATCGTCGTCATCATATTATCCTGGCAAGCTATCTAGGTAAAGGTAAAGATTCTTTGAATTGAGCCTGACTTCTAGGAACATTGCAAATTTAGCTGTGCCAGGGATGCAGAAGGGATTTGCCATTGTCTTCTTTTTATAACTTCCCAATTTAGCCTGTAGTTCTGGGATTTCCTTGTAGTCTCCCATCCAAGTACTAACCAGATCCATTCCTACTTTTAAGTTTAGCTAGTAGGTACCTATGAAACATATCTGTAGTGCTTAACCCTGTAATTGCATTAAATATTAATCCTATACTAGGCCATGTTTTGTTGATCCATTGTTAAGAGAATAAATCATAATTCAGGAGCTTTACACAAGGTGCTACAGTATTTATATTATACACCATAATTACTGCCACAGCATGTGGAGTCATACACTATGCTAAGCCATAACCAAATCCCATGACGGCTTATGAGTTTATGACTTCATAGCTGCGTTACGCTCATTTAACAACCTAGTGGGTGTGTTCTCTCAATATAATATGCGTGATTAGTATTAACCTTGGATGCAGAGGGTGGTGTGTTGTACTGCTTGTTTGGTTTGTTTGTGTTCCCAGCAGGTGGCACCACTTAGTTGGTATTGGCTGACCTTAAAAAAATGAAGAAGGTTCAGACCTGGTTAGATCTTGGATAGGAGACCACCAGGAGATCCCAGGAATGTAAGCTAGAAGTTGCCAAATTCAACTTAGAGAAGACTTTACCTTCACTGTACAAACTCAGTAAATGGATTAGTTCAGTAAGCACATTCAGCATGTTCTGTAAATGCAGCTGTTTGAGGATGAACCTGGTTAGTACCTAGGATACTAATGTAGGTTTGAGGGAAATTGCCAAGCTGTTTTCTTACATTCCAGATTTCAAAAGGTGCCACGCAGGACGAGCGACGAGAATGGGACCTTCTGGAGAGTGCGCGTTTCTGTTGGCTTCCAAATTCTGAAAAGACTCTAGAAGGTGGCATTTGAAAACCCAGATCTTGTAAAGACCCTTAGGCTTCTTCAGAGAAAGGGAGGAGATTGGCTAGAAGCCTCAGTAAATAGAATTTAATACAATATAATCTCCTTAAGCTAGATTGCTCTGTTACAGGAAAGAGCACTAGATGAAAAATGCTGGAGAAATTCTAGACTAGCATTCAAACAAAGATAATAAGGGACTCATACAGTGTCAAATCTTTCCTTTAAATGCTTTTTTTTACTCTCAATCATATTCATTTGAAATGATTTTATATAATTGCTGAGGCGGTTCAGTAGGATTATTTAATTGGAGCTTAGTCCCTAGCACGTCCCCTGGGATTTTGGTTTCCTCTTAGAAAATTCTTTCAGTACTGCCTGGATGTGCAACCTGAAGCCCAAGGGCTCCAGAATTTCAAAGTTTAATGTGAGAGATGAGGAAAATCCTTAAATACAGGGAAAATGATAATATTTTCTGCCTTTCACGAAAGCAAAATTAAATTTGCTTTTGTCTCCGTGCCATCCATTTCTCATGGTCCTGCCCATTTTTTGAAGCAGGCAGAATCAAGAATGAAACCCTACCTGCAATTTCACCTCTTAAATTCTGTTCTTGCACTTGAGAAGGTTTGGCCTGACTAGGTTGGTTCTGACTTCATGCCAGTGCATATTATCAGAGACCATTGGTTCAGTTGTTGCAGCAAATCATTGTTAGGCCTTGCAAATCATAGTTTGGGACTGCATCAGAGCCACCTCATCTTCAGAATGCTGCCTTGGGGAAAGATGAAGCATCTCCATCTAACAAATGTCTCTTTGTCTTGTAGAAGACTGTTTTGATGTGACTCGGGAGGCCATGACCCACTTGGGTATTGATCGTTTCACCCAGAATAATGTTTTTAAGGTCAGTTAAACCTTGGCTCAATAGCAGTTGGATTGATTGATAGGATTTGTAAGGCCACCTACAATCTCTGAAGGTAATTTAACATGTCTTGAATTTCAGCAGCATGACTTCATGCCATTTTCGTCTGTGTTCAGATATGGAGCTCTTGTGCTAGCATGGATTTCTTTTCAAATCTTCTGGTCTTTACAGTAAACTCAGTTTCTGAGTATGGATCCTTATTTAGCCAAAAAGCATCACCCGTGCAGAACAGGGAGAAACCAACCGGTTCTCTCTCTCTTGCAGATACTAGCTGGTCTTCTCCATTTGGGCAATATCCAGTTCTGCGAGTCAGAGGATGAGTCACAACCTTGTGAGTTAGAAGACCTGGCCAAAGGTGAGGCACCCAAGACCCAGTCCACCGTTCTCAGACCAATCAGTTATCTGTAGCTGTCATGGGAGCATAAAACCCTCTCAATGTAGTTTTGGCTTTGCCTGTGAACACAAACTTTCAGTCACATAATATACCTTAATCCAGTTTTTCCCAAGCTGAGTCTCTCTCTAGATGCTTTGGATTACAATGCCTATTGTCCTCTGCCTATTAGCAGAGTCAGTGATCAGCAATGATGGGAGTGTAGCCAAACCGTGCAGAGTAATCCCACTTGAGAAGCGGTTTACAGGTAGTCCTCACTTACCAACCACTCATTCAATGACCATTTGAATTTGCAACTATGCTGAATGAGTGGTACTTAGGACTGCTCCTTGAAGTTCCGGCCATTGCACCACCCCCGTAGTCCCATGATCACAATTCGGGCGCTTGGCAATCAGTTCATATTTATGACGGTCGCAGCTTCCTGCAGTCACGTGATTGCATTTGCAACCTTCCCTGCCAGCTTCCGACAAGCAAAGTCAATGGGGAAGCTGGCAGGGAAGGTTGCAAGTTCTGATAAGCGCCCCCAGCCTTCCTGTGCTTATGCGGTGCTGCAGCCTCCTTTCAACACAGCGCTGTGTCCTGCTTGCCCTGGCCTCCTTGTGCTTGCACCGACCCACGGCCTCCTTTTCTTGGCATCCCTGCATTCACACACAGCCTGGATCAGGCCTCCCCCACAGCACCTCCCCCCACAGCATCCTCACACTCCTTACCTGGGACTCCCGCCACTTCCTGCTTAACAACCCACACATCTCGGGGATATGATCACAGCCAGGATTGCTGGGATTGTTGTCGCTAAACAGTGCGGTCATGTGACATCGTGCTTTACAACTGCATTGCTTAGCAACAGCAATCCTGGTCCCAGTTGCCGTCATAACCTGAGGACTACCCATATTTCCCATTAAAATGGCATTCTCTGCTTGGTTGATGGGGAAGACTGCACTGAGAAGTCCTGAATTATTGATGCTTCTTTAAAACGGATGAATAGATCAAGGGATTCTAGTTTTTAAAAAGTGAGTAGAGATGCCAAAACTAAGTTCAGTCGCTTTACATCTTAGGCCATATCTGCTAATACTGAAGAAACAATTACTGTGTTTACTCATTCTGCTATGTCATAAAATGGTTTGTTTCATTTGGCCCAGCCATCATTGTAAATCATGATTTAATGTTTAATATGATGCAAAACCAGCCAATGGGGCTTATTCAGCAAAGTATGGCATAGCATGATGTGTGAACCCAATCAGTCGTCCAACAGATCTTTGTATATATGAATTCATGCCAGATCTTTATGTATGTGTATGTGTATGTGTATGTAGACGCACACACACCATATATATAATTTTTATATATGGTGTGTATGTGTGTATGTGTATACACACACATACACACGCATACAAAATCAACTATTTTACGATTGCTGACTTAGGAAATTTTTAGGATGATAGTCGCTTTGTGTAGATCAATCCTAAGCTTTATATTGCAGAACATAAATTTAGCCAGAAAAGTGGCTGACCCTTTTTGTTTTGTTTTTTTAATGGTTCTTCTAAAACAAGGCTTTGCAGGGACTGCTTCCCGGCTTTTAAGAGTGCCCGAGGAGCAGTTGTTGGACACGCTCAAGATCCGGAGGATAACTGCTGGGAGACAGCGGCAAGTGTTCAGGAAGCCTTGTCTCAAGGCAGAGTGTGAAACAAGAAGAGACTGTCTGGCCAAGGTGATTTATGCCAGGTAAGTCTTTTTTTTTTATCTGCACTCCATCGTGACCGATTCTGTAGCGACTGCCTGGACGAGTCCCTGCAGTTTTCAAGGCAAGGTGTTTCGGAAGTGGTTTGCC